TTTCCTGGAAGGGCCTGACATCCATTACCCTCTCTTTGACTGGACATCTTCCACAAAGCAGGATGTCTGGCTACAACACCATCCAAAAATAAAATAAAAGCTTTAGTCAGTACTGAATAGTAGCACTTGATTAGTGTATATACACTGTATCTATCTATCTATCTATCTATCTGTCTGTCTGTCTGTCTATCGGTACATCTGACTATCTACAGTATATCTGTCTGTCTGTCTATCGGTACATCTGACTATCTACAGTATATCTGTCTGTCTGTCTATCGGTACATCTGACTATCTACAGTATATCTGTCTGTCTGTCTATCGGTACATCTGACTATCTACAGTATATCTGTCTGTCTGTCAATCTTTCTACAGTATCTATCTGTCTGCTTGCCTGTCTGTCTATCGTCTGTCTGTCTGTCTATCGGTATATCTGACTATCTACAGTATATCTGTCTGTCTGTCAATCTTTCTACAGTATCTATCTGTCTGCTTGCCTGTCTGTCTATCGTCTGTCTGTCTGTCTATCGGTATATCTGACTATCTATATCTGTCTGTCTTGTCTGTCTGTCAATCTTTCTACAGTATCTATCTGTCTGCTTGCCTGTCTGTCTGTCTGTCTATCTATCGTTTGTCTGTCTGTCTGTCTGTCTGTCTATATATCGTCTGTCTGTCTGTCTATCGGTATATCTGACTATCTATATCTGTCTGTCTATTGGTATATCTGACTATCTATATCTGTCTGTCTGTCTGTCGGTCGATCTATCTACAGTATCTATCTGTCTGCCTGTCTCTCTGTCTGTCTGTAGTATCTATTTATCTATGTGTGTGCATATAACATTTTAATCGAGTTTAATAGACAGTATAAGATATTTGAAATTAAAATATGTTTAAATATGGGTGCGTGCGTGCGTGCGTGTGTGTGTGCATGTACGTTTTTATGTGCATGTGTGTGAGAGAAGTGCAAGAAATGTGACCCTGGACCACAAAACCAGTCATAAGTAGCACAGGGATATTTGTAGCAATAGCCAACAATATATTGTATGGGTCAAATTATCGATTTTTCTTTTATGCCAAAAATCATTAGGATATGTTCCATGAAGATATTTTGTAAATTTCCTACAAAAAAACTTCATTTTTGATTAGTAATATGGATTGCTAAGAACTTAATTTGGACAACTTTAAAGGCGCTTGTCTCAGTATTTAGATTTTTTTTTGCACCCTCAGATTCCAGATTTTCAAATAGTTGTATCTCGGCCAAATATTGTCCTATCCTTATTTATTCAGCTTTCAGATGATGTATAAATCTTAATATCGAAAAATTGACACTTAAGACTGCTTTTGTGATCCAGGGTCTCACACACACACACACACACACACACACACACACATATACAGTATATATATATATATATATATATATATATACACACACTATAGATAACTATACATATGTAACTATACTGTATACACTACCTATTCGTGTTATAATATCTTGATTTTTAATGTACATATATATTTTAAACTTTAAAACTACATTCCTGATTCTGTGCCCTTTTGAAATCATAATATACTGTGTCTTAAACTTATGAACAATTCTAATAGTAACAGGTTATTGTTCATAGCTACATCTTTTATTTTCTTTGGGGATATGCCCAACTGTACATTTTTCCTTTTTATTTTTTAAGCAGTTCTCACTGTTCTTTATGCAATACAAGGTTCAATACAGGCAAGCACAAAAGTAAATATTACATTATTACCAGTGTTATGTTGTTCTGAACATAATCATAAAACATGTTCTGATGCAGAGAGCAGAAGGTTCCAGATACAAATATGTGTGTGTGTG